ATGGAAGAGGAGGCTAAGCGTTGACGTTGTTAAAGTCGAAGTAGTCCACTGAAAATCAAAACGAAGACTGAGTAGTGATCAAAATCTCTTTTTAAAAAACACTGCCATTTTACACTGTACATAATTATCCACTGAAAAGCAATTCAAATGGTTGATTCTTTCCGACCATCTGCCTAAGTTCATTGGCTGACACTCCTCGTTCGTTCGGAACTGTTCGGATTACTCATATCTTGACTGGAACAATGTTACGCCTTGTTCGCCATATCCCAACTCTATCCTGGTTCACTCGGTCTCTGAAAATGGGAGCAACTGGTTGTGTCCGCGGCGCTGAATGGCTTTCCATTTGCCGACTCTGTTCGCTTCATTCACGATGCGGCATTCACTCCGAATCAGTGTCACGTGCGAGACACTCGCTTGCGCTTGACCGGGACCAAGTGCTTGCCTGAATTACAAAGCTGTAACATGAATTAGGTTGTTCACTTGCTCGCTCGGCCCGTGTAAACCTGGCCACTTTGTGCACGTGGTGCAGCTTGTCTTTCCCGTCCACTGGCTGCATGTCGATTTCGTTCGCCTGAGTTGCAAGTTACCATCACAGTCTGAGGAAATGAAAACCCTCACTTCAAATTTGGCGTCTATTGGTGCCTAGAGACTTCCGGGCTGTGGTCCCAAGGAACATGAACACTTTGGGTTGGATACAGCGGTGGACATGGTGAAGAGCCGACCTCAATGGCGCTTGGGTTGTGGGTTTCTTTGTCCCTCCTTCTCCAATCACGATTTTATTCCTGATGCATAACAGTATAGTAATCGTTTACTGGTTTTCATTTTGCACAACGTACTGATCGGTTTGTCGCTATTTCACCCAGCTTTTGATATTGCGGCACAATAGCTGCAAAAACGTGCCTCTACGTGAGACGGTTGAGAATTTGTGTGATTTCATCGCGAGTCAACACATGTCTGTTGGCCTGCCGCTGGAGTATTTGAGGGATATGATTCTATTGTGCAGGGAAAATATACGGTTCGAATTTGAGGAAACTGCTTATAAACAGATCGACGGCGTCGCCATGGGTAGTCCTCTGGGACCAGTACTAGCAGACATTCTTCTCGATTTGATAGAAACAAGTTACTGCCAGCATTTGTGAAGCTACGTTGTACAAGCGGTATGTAGACGACATCCTAGTCTTCACCACCGACGAACATTTTGCGCGGCTGTTGAAAGCTCTGAATTCAATTCATCCAAACCAATCGGTGTCCCATGAGTTGGAGCAACATGATAGGCTGCCGTTTTTGGATATACTCATTAAGAGACGGACTGATGGTACACTGCAGCGCACGGTTCATCACAACGCAACTTGGAGTGGGCAGTACCTCCACTTTTCCAGCTTTGCCCCGGTCGCATACAAACGTGGCCTAGTGTAAACGTTTTTCTACAGAGCCAGACGAATATGCAGCCCCGAAATGTTGCAAGCTGAAGAAGAATTTTTGTTCAAAACCTTGGTGTCGAATGGGTATCCTGAGAAGTTCGTTCAGATCCACGGCAGGCCACCCAAGCAGAAAATACAGATGTTAACCGCAGAGAAAAAGAAGGTTTACTTGTTCTTGCTGTTCAAAGGAGACCACGTATCAAATGATCTCGGACATAAACTCCGGTCAGTCCTTACGCGCACCTACGCGACCGCCCAGTTGCGACTCATACATACAACGCGAAGCCTTGTTCTTCATGACTGTCAGAGCAACTCATCAGTCAGTTCGGCCTCTCACGTCGTTCACCTGTTCACCTGCGGTTGCGGTGACATTTACATAGGCAAGACTGACCGTCAGTTAGTTCAAAGGGTAGCTGAATATGTGCCGAGGTGGTTGGAACAACTGATGACGCAACAAAACTGAGTGGATCCGAGGATGAACAGGAGCCCTGCATCGTCTATCACCAAGCATCTCTTGGCAACCCGACATCAGATGAACCCGGAGACTGCGTTCAAGGTGTTGTTACGTAACAACAATCCGCTAATCTTGGCAATTAGTGAGGCCTTGCTAATTAGGGCTTATCAACCTGTGTTGTGTGCACAGAAACTATTGAGACAATCAATCAAATTACCGTGGTCTTGATTTTAACATTTTGATTGGTGTACCAGCCTTTTCCCCTGTATATAACTGTCCATGAATCCCGCTTGTATTGTGTTTGCGACTGATGAGAACAATCGAAAGGTTAACATATCGCAACATATGTCTTCTCACTGCTCTGACCAAATAGCTGCGATGTTGTTTACCTTTAGCTCACGTGTAGTCCTTGTCGTGTACGTAGCTGATGCAGCCTTTTCCTTTGCTCGACAGGCTCATGGAAATAATCTTTGAAAACACATTGATGGGACACCCGGGAAGCTAGAGTATCGTCGCGCCGGAGCAGCACGGGTTTCCTCAACATTGATCCCCTAGCACGAATTTGCGGACAGAACGCGGAAAACTGCCCGAAACAGTTGACAAAGGAACAGGAACCCATGTCATCTACCTGAAATTTTCAAGTGTCCGATCGATTGGATCATTTTATCCTGCTTCACAAACTACAGGTATATGACCTCGGATATCCAGTGTTGAGACAAATAGGTAACTCTCTGAGGTCGGATTCTAGCCTCACCGTTATTTTGTCTTCAGTAACGATCTAACTAGTTATCACTTCAAAATTTTTATTATTCGCAGTTGACGTTAATATCTAATAAGTTAGCAGTGGATTGGAGAACCATGCGATCCTCCAGTAAGGCTTGGATGAGGCTTGGAATTGGTCGGTGAGGAACACGTTTCCATTCGAAGTAGACGAGTGTTGAGTTGTTCACGTCCGCCCCTGCCACACCTACATCTACTGGCTTGGGACCCAAGATCTGCAAACCGCCTCAAAGGAACGTAACTTCGAGTGTTCCAGACGGTTTCCTTCCGCTTCAAAATAAGATGATTAGCATATTCGTCTCTGGAGGATGGCACCCGGGAGTTTCGATTCATCCATCTTCTCTCTAATGCTCTGTGTCTACGTGCGTCCCACATCGAATACGCGATCCAGGCTTGGCTTATACGTGCTCTCGTAGTGTTCGAGACCCCACCGCGTCGGACAACAAAAATGTCAAGGGTTCGCGCTATCTTTCGTACGGGGAACAGCTGAACAAACTCACGATGTTCATTAGAATCAATGTGGAAATATCACAATTGTACATGGAATACTGAGTGATCCCAGCCACGTATGCCTTGAACTTCTGAAACTCATCCCGAACACTAACTTTAGCGACAACAGCCTGAAATTAAATCAACAACACAACCATCTAGATTGTCGAGGTTCTTTCTTCCACCGGGTTGGAAAAACCTGGAAGGCCCTTCCAAACACCACTACCTAACAGCCATTTTCAAAAAATTGGTTGCGGCACTCAGCTCCCTACACTTTGCTATACCAACAGTCGTTCTGGTATATATACCGGCCCATCCGTCTTTGGAAGTATATTCCACGTTGATGCACATATATCAATGCAAGTGAGTGAACAAGCCCATTATACATTACTACATTATTATACCCTTTGCTATAGTGGTATCTCATCCCCACAATTCTACTTCTAACATGCTGTTGCCTTGTTGCGTCACCGTTGCGCACTTTATTTCGTCCACTCGGGTTGTCGTTAAAATTTTCAGTTCCTTCCCTTGAAAACCTACGGGGTCTGTTAAGCCCAGGCTATTTTACCAATTATTAAACGTTGTTCCGTTACACAACTTGTGGATTTCTTTTTAGTCTCTTTGATCAAGTTCAACACAGAGTTAAAGGCATAATACAGGCAACACTTCGCAAGCAATGATGCATTATTGACAAGGACTTGAGAAATGTTGCATCTGAGTCTCTGAACTCCTCGTTCGCACTCCATGTTGTCTGCGGCGGACGGTTTCACAGTATATATATATATATATATATATATATATATATATATATATATATATATATATATATATATATATATATATATGTAGAGAGGAGAGAGAGAGAGAGTGGCTCGTCATATTCGATCATCTCTGCCTTTGTACCTTAGCTCATGTCTGATGTCAGCACCGCGTGAGCAACGAGCGTGTTCGGCGTCGCGTATTAGGTGCACGAAGAGCGAGTGAACCGCTCAGCACCATTATATCACGCACCAGGCTCCGATGGCTGGACCACGTGTGGTGCATGCCAGCACACCGACTCCCGCGACGTGCATTGTTTGCCCGCCGAGGGTACTGTTGGAAGAGGAGAGGAGGCCAAGCGATGACTTGGGCGAGAGAAATGAAAACCCTTACTTCGAATTTGGCGTCGGTTGGTGCATCCCGACTGCCTGGCTGGGGTCCTAAGGACGATGGACACGTTTGGTTGGACACACTTGCTGGTATGTCTAGGAGCCGACCCCAATGGCGTTTGTGTTTGGAGTTCCTTTGTCCATCCTTTTTCTTTAGGCCCCCCTCTCATCACGATCTCATTCGCTAGGCACAATATAACACTTTACGGCACGATAGCCGGCTGTTATCTCTCCGGAACGATGTCCATCCGTTACTGGTGACTCAGCCGGCGTGCCACCGTTGTGTTTCTTCGTCTTCTTCTTGTCTTTCGTATTGTGGCACAATAGCTGATGTGTTTTCCAACTGCAGCTATCATGTATAATGCTGATTTTGATGATGATAAAGCCAGCATACGTGCATGGTCACCAACGGACTCCAGATTGATGAGCGCATCAGTCCACAAAAGGCGGAACTAATCTCAATACTAAAAACAACTCATCCAAGTGAAGTCCATAGGAGAAACAGACCAGATGCATGAAAGGGTATCGATAAAAAGCAGTTAAATTCAACTTAATAGAATCCCAGTTTATTTAGAAGTCGCGCTTCTTGACAAGCGTCCCTCGCCAAAGTTTGGTTCAAAGTATTCTACACTGAACGAGATGAACGGATATGGTAAAAATGGCGGGATAAAATGAAGGAATAGTGAATTAAAATAAAGCGAACTTCACCTGCATTCGCAAACAGTTTATTGCGTACGATAGCCTGATAAGTATTCAGTGCCTCTTGGTACATGCCGCATGCAGTGTACCGGGTGGCCAAGTTGAACAACACCGAATAAGTGAGGTCCAAGTTGATTTGGTCGGCCACTCCAAGTTGTTCACGTTGTCTAACCAACACACGTTCCTTGCGGCCGGCTTCTTTCACCTTCTCAAATGCCAGAGTAATCTCGCCTTGGCTGGCTGCAATGCAGCTATCTTCAAGCAGTTGATTCACCTATGTGAACCGTGAGATGTACAATCATAGTTTACAGCAAGGTCCCATAATAAGTGACAATGCAATTACAGCTAGCTTTGACACAACTTCACCAATGGTTTGATGTCAGATAAATCTATCTGCAAGTTTTAATGTAATCGAATACATACTGATAACCATGTCTTAACACCAGATAGCAAGTATGTGTCGCATTTGGGATAAAACTTGCTGATACGTTCCGAAAAGGCGAAGTGGCTGTCCAGGATTGTTGGAACGTCAGTGGTTCCCTGACTTCATTTAAGTATGACGTTCAATTTAAGACATTTAACTCGTTTTACACACTAGTCTGTCCAAGCTTAGTGCGCCCGTTTGCCCCCATGTCGAATAGGCAATGCATGCTTGGATTCCATAGCCGAAACACAACCTCATTGCATTGGATCAGCCTCAATGTCGGGCTTCCAAATACTTCATTGGAATTCATAATCTCCCATACGAGCATAGGCTGCAACGTTTTGGAGCAATCAGCGAGTGATATCGACAATTAGGAAGCGACGTGATAATGAATACTGGATTTTGTGCAATCCGAATCATGTGTGCCACGCATCATCAAACATTTACCTGAGTTGACCTATGGAAACTTCAGACAAAATCTGAATCTCAATAGATAGCCATGTACATGAAGTGCACGCAGTGAAAGAGCCCGGAGGACAACAAAGCATAGCTTTTGTTTGCTGAGCAATTGCGCATTCTCGTGCTTTAAGTCAACGTCCATCCACAAACTTAGTAATAAGCTTAAAGCGTCTTTAAAGTTGTACAAATCAGTCGGAAAACAATTGCGTGCGAAAACTTTCGCTATGCAAACTTCATAATAGTTGTCATTCCCATCTAATATTGCTGATGCACTTCTTGGTAGCCCGAATGACCTTGGTAATGTATTTTTAACATGTTCGTCAACCGCCAAGCAAACAGATGGATTAAGAATCGTATGATATCGTACTTTGGTAGATGAATTACTTGGTGACAACATCTCAGATTTACTACTGTTATAATTGCGTAGATGCCTGATAAGATTGTCACTGGCACGGTTGGAGTACGCCTACGGTAACAGATTGGAACGCTGGCCAATCGAACGGATTTGCGCTGACCTGATGGCGTTAGCTTAGCCTGGGGTACGCGCTGGTGAGACGGAAATTGAGCGAACGTGAGAACGATCCCAGCCGCACGTATTCGGGTAGACCCTGAGCCCTCGGAACGGACGCACACGAGAGGGGGTTACGGTAGACGCGCGTTAGTGACTTAGACGCGAACGCTACCCAGCTAAACATGCACACAAAATCACGTGACCTGACCGAATCCCAAGTGAGGCGAAGAGGAAAGAAAGACAGGCGGTCCTCTGAAGGCTCTTTTACGACTAACAAAGGGCGAATCACAGCCAGTGCAATGGGTTATTAAGTTAGGGAAAATAGCTACCACGACGGGGTGGTCGTTTGTAAAAGAGCATTGTCAACAGGTGCGTAGTTGGGCCGCGTCTCGGGGTGGCTGAACGCTGTTGCGTTGTGGGGAGGAATTGGACCCGGCTTTCCACAGCCACAATGCCGAAGTTTTTGGTGCGTTTTGCGGGGATATTTGACGGACCCGCAACAACTACGGATCATTATGCGATTACAGTAGACTGAAACCTGGCACCCGCTTTTATGACGTTACTGGTGAGTGGCGTGGTGTTATCATGTAACTGAATTTCTCCTGATGCGTGGAATGTGCACAGGACCAACTTGCGCAGGTGACTGCGCGTCGGGGCCATTCACCGCGAAAACTTAGATCGATTGGTTTGGCTCAAGATTTACAATATGTTGCCAGAGTGGTACAAATAGTAATTTGTGTCAAGTTTACTCGATAACGGCTCTGTTAACGAGGAACGTCATATACCTCTAATCTAAGCACGCAACTTCATCCCTTGGCAACCTAACCAGATAGAAAAGGCCAATAAAAATGGTATAGGTTTAAATTCCTTATGTCTAGTCTCAGTCAGACGTCCATCACACGCCTTGAGAAACAATGTACCGCTATTTCTTCCTTTTGGGAATCATCAACAGTGCGCATTCCATCTTATTCTTGTGCAGTTAGAACCCGCAACTAGACTGTTGCCAGTCTGCAGATGAGATCAAGGAGCTACAGAGGATGGTAACGACCGTCGTGACTGTTATTGTATGTGTCGTAGCACCGCTCAGTGCTTTTCTGAACATGTGATGGCTGTCTGACTTGAGTCTAGATGCGATGTATTTCTACTTACACCATTCACATCCCCCTACTACTACTACTACTACTACACACTTACTACTACTACATACTACTACTACTACTACTACTACTACTACTACTACTACTACTACTACTACTACTACTACTACTACTATACTACTACTACTCTACTACTCTACTACTACTACTACTCTACTAACTACTAATACTACTACTACTACTACTACTACTACTACTACTACTACTACTACTACTACTACTACTACTACTACTACTACTACTACTACTACTACTACTACTACTACTACTACTACTACTACTACTACTACTACTACACACTTTGAAGAATGCTCGGAATCGATCGAGAACTCATGACTTTAGAAGGGTTTCTAAACAACGAGTTGGTATGGATTGCCATTTTGAAATACACATTGTGTGATTGGATTTCGACGCGCAATCTCAATGTAGACTGCGATTCACACTGTCGTGAACCTCAGTTAATGCGATCACTGGGACCGTAGCCGAAGCAGATAGAAATTGGGTGTTGCCAGCCCAAAAACACTGCACAAGCGGTTGGTATTGTTTATGGGTTACGTTTCGATTTTGGCACAAAAGCTTCGTCAAGCCGAGTGAACCAGTCGATTATTTATAGATAGCACTTATGGCGGACTTGTAAGAAACTCACAACCAGTGGGATGTAGGCAAAAGGTTACTTGCGTCACAGGTCAAAGGGTCACGTTAAGTAATGAATGGTATGGTCCCAAGTGGTCAGCGTTGTAAGCTCACACACATAAGTCCCTGCCAGTCAAGGTCGTGGCGTGGGGGACAGGTGGGGGCGGTCCGCCTCGGGCGGTATGTGACAGAGGACGGCAGTCTTTGTAACCTTGATTGCCGGATAGCAAATACAATGGGCAAAATATTTGGATAAGCTATGGTTTGAATATTTTGATGTTGCTCCGTATGACCAACAACACATTTGCACGTGTAACACCTGTGCAAACATTCTTCTCAGCGATCCCCTTGTTTGTCTCACTGTGGTCACTTTCACCATATTTACCTGTGTCCCAAACGAAAGTCCATTTCATCGGAGACTAATGGACACTTTACCCTGAGCCGATTGTGTGAACTTCCCACGCTATTCTGCCCTCAGTCAAGGCGAAAATTTTACCACCGCCCAGGATAGCAAAACTAGTTGCTGCGCCACTGCTGCCAGTGATTGGGTGTGGGGATTAGGTGAGGTTGATTCGCTGTCCGGATCCATCCGCCGACGCTCCTCAGCCTGGTCAGGTTAAGACAGTCCGCCACACATGCATTCTGTTCACGCAGCTGTTCACCTTGATAATCTCAGCCGCCTCAGTAATCAGCCTTTGGGGCTCGATCCTAACCCCCTCCTTCCTTGGGTTTCGAGGCTGTCCAAGTTGACCTCATGACCTGCATCTATCGTTGCTGCCGAATCTTTTAGTAGAGCCCTGTATTCAAGCTCGTTCCTCGGCGTCAGTGCTATCCATTTCTTGTGTTCAACTATCCTTGTTGGTAGCTGTCTTGCGGTATTAGCTATGCGCACGCGAGCTCAGCCTTTGGAACAAATTTTGTAGGACTAATTAGTTGAAGTATCGTACCTACTTATAATTCTTTCAGTAGCTACGATTTGTATGAAAATCTGAATGTGTTTCGTCTAGTCGAATGATCTGTGTGTAACAGCCTCTGGGACATCTGGGTGGCGTGACGAGCAGATAGGATAAATAAAGCACCTTATGGTATACACTCACGCTCTTCTCCATAAGTTTTATTCTTTCCTCAGGATTGTCACTGGATCCCACCTCAAGAGATTGTACTGTACGTGCCTCTGAAGTCATCCGGCCATCTGCCCATATCGCACCGCCCTCCGCAGCAGTAGACCCCCGATAACCCATGGAGGAATAGCCGGCAGCCCGAACAGAAGTCATCGGTCGTGCTGCATCACCGGCATTTGAGCCTGCCGCTGTAAACAAGCGAATCCCCGTTGGAAGTCTTCCAGAAGAGGCAAGCACAGTCGCCTTTGTTGCAGCTGTTGGTAGATTTCGGCCAAGGATCTGCAATGAATGACAAGAAGAGTATGGGTCTTATGGGTTTGATGTAAAAACAATTGCTTGTCCTTCTCTTATCAGCTGCAGACTGAAGAGTTGCCCCTGGTGGTATTAGCGAAATTGGAGTAGTGCTTTTGCGTAAAAGTGCAAGAGAATGCGACAAAAACAAAACAGCATTGCTCTTCGCATACCATCGAGGCTGATGAAGGTTCCGCGTTGATGTGTACTACCCACCTTTCAGTATATTCTCCCGCTTCGCGAGCATTCTTCGCACGACACATAGGCAAATTTAATGCAACTAAACTACCGGTATTAATTACCTCCAACATTCACTTAGCAACGATTTAGAATCATAGTCCATCCCTTGTTTCGGTAATCCGTCACAACTTAGTGGCTTCAGAGCAAAAGTTAAAGAATAACTCACTTAATTGATTGTGTTTAGACTTAAGCAACGTTCTGCTACCGTTGATTATAATATGTGGGTAACGACATTAACGATGGAGTAATTAAGTGAAAGAAGTGGTTAAAATGAATAGCACCTTCCATGAAAATGACATGCCTGGAAGCGTTGCGCACTGAATGTGCTCAGCACATAACTCGTTTAAGTTCAAAACTAAGAAAATATGGTGGTTAAGTGTAAAATCGAAGGGTTATTATGTCAGGAGGAGAAAGATCCATGAACAACACGTCACCCAGTTTAAGGGTTCGACCGGCTGTGAATCAAGGAACGAAACAGCTTGTGGGGAAAACCTCAGGCACCCGAATTACAAATGGTCCGAACTGATCGGGAAAAATGTGCCACAATCTCAGCAATGATGTCATTGCGCACAAAATGTGTTGCATTCGGTGTGAATCAGCACAACATGCGGTGGAAAATGCATTTTACAAAGTGCATACACAACTGCTTCAGCAGAAGTACTGAAAACACCCGGCGATGGGAAGAGGTGAAGTAAGTGAATTTTCATGCCGACAGCCGAGAGTACAAGATGTATGACAGGGTAACATCGGCTTGTGACTTCACAGCGCAATCATTCAGAGTTTTCGTGGACACAGGTATCGCGTGTATACAATTATCGGATGTAGTTTATAAATGATTCAATTTCTCCAAGCAAAACTTCGGATTAAGGTACGCTGCGTGCACTAAATCGGCACAGAGCACATAATAAACATTGTATATCGCATTAAATCTGGTTGCCAAGTGGCGATGGCAGTTGTCGGAGAACTCGGTCTTTAGGGACAACCAGCTTACTGAACAGAGCAAACTCAACAAAAATGTTAGCATAACCAGCATGTAGAAACATCAATGTAAGTAATTAAGCCACTTCCATAACTAACGACGCTTATACATTCATGAAATTCTTCCTTTGGATCAGTTGAACAAACCTGCTCCAGTGTAGCCAAATATGAACCAATCAGCGCATAGATGGAATATAGGTGGGCGTTCGATCAACTGCTCCGTTCGCCTGCGGCTAGCTAACCCCATGTTTCGTCATGTAAATCTGTATGGTTCTGCTTGCACCATCCCACCACAACATTCCTGCTCGAAAAACTGCGACGCACAGTTGAGATACAGTGTATGAAATACGAGAAAATAAGTTAACTACTGCGCATGATCCTAACTGGTGTCATTAGGCCAAGGGCCATAAATCCTAACACATGTTGGTCGGGAAAATAAAGTACCTACTTTAATATCCGATAAATTTTGACTCGGTTACCTTGCTTTATACCAGAAACATAGGAATGAAGTTATCCCTGTACTATCCAAGCTATGGGCAATCGAAGGTAGCAAAATACGCACAACAAACAGTTAAAGTATGATTATCCAAAGCATGAACTGCAAACTGGTTGGGCAGAAGTCCACGGATGTCGATGCAATTTTTTCGGCATGAAAATAGGAAAGCAGGGTAACAACAGGAGTGACATTACCGTAGGATAAATACTGGAAGCGAGCACTACAGAAAATTCCAGTGGTCAACGTTGAGTTAGGGTAAAAGTGCGAATCACAACAGCCATTTTTAGATTTGAAAACGCTATACCAGTGTTCACTTACTGGCTGTTTTCTGCCGCAGGAGGAAATTTTCACCGCACGCAGAAAGTCAGGATCGTTTAAAAAATTATCCACATCTCCTTTACTGTTGAACTCCTCAAATCCCTCATATATATCGCGATCAGGCGACTGATCCATAACTGAAACTGTGCGGAGTATTGTATATCTACAAAATAATAGACTATGATGGTATGTATGTCTGCAAACGCTGGAGTACATGATCCAACAGTGACACAACTGGATACTACGGGTAACGATCTTAAAATCTGACAAGTCCAGTAGGATGGCCTCGGTGAACTACCTAAATACAACGAAAAAAGTTCACCAACGAGACAAACCATGAATATGTTGGTTCATAGTTTGTTGACATTAGGATAAGAGTAAATACACCCACCCTGATTCCAGTGGGTGCTGGTGTGTACAATGAGACTGTGTTGTGTCGTCCCCTGAAGAAGTTCAGTAATGTCATGGAAAGTAACTGGCATATTGTATCGTCCAGCCATATTTATGAAAGCAGATAACGTGAAAGCAGAGACAACATAAGTCGAAAGAGCGTTCCACGGTTGAAAATTCGGAGGGGAAAGGTTTGGTGACATACCACCTGGCTGTATGGCGCAGCTATCTTCAGCTAGTTGCCAATTAATCTGGTAACATGGCTGTTTCAGGAGGATGTCGCGAGGGTAACCGCGATTTCCAATTGACTAGGATAGGGTCGCTCAGTAGACAACCATAAGTTCCATTGTACAACCTTGGGGATTTCAAATACAGCTGGTATGGGCAATGAAACAAGTCAGTTTATCGTCCGCTACCCATCGTTGTGTGGTCCCAATTGCAGATGGATTGTCTTCTACTCAGGATTGCCAGGTTTGATTCGTGTGCTCTACATTGGGCCTCACATACGCGTTAATCACTCGCTGGAAGACGGGTGAGTCAAACCGGCAAAACGCCCTCCGCAACAGACCATCGTATTTAGTATCCGGGTTTTGACATTTTCAAGCACTGCTTCCACCAAGCGAAGCAATTATGAATCACTAGCTCAAAGTTTCGCTCCTGTGAGTCGGTCGTTGATATATTGCCTCCAAGCGTACACGCACTTTGGCTGATGGCTCATCTGTACTACATTTTAGTCATCCCTGTTAAAAAGTTGACTCGTCTTTAACCTTGTTCGATGCAGCAGGCCATCATTTTCCTGAATGCCGATCGCCCATCATATCTTGTTGTTATCGGAGAAAAGCAGGAAATTCGGTAGTTCGTTAATGAGGATGAGAAATAGGTGTGGCTTCAGCAAGGATCCTTGTAGGACACCACATTCCATATCAGTTGGTTCAGAACATGAGCCTCAATCCCACAATGTGTGTATGTGTAGTTATGTGTACTATTGATATCCCTGGGTAATTTAAAGCTCAGGCGTTCAGTAGGCAATCTTGGTGCCTCAAACGTTTAGCTACAACGTGTACTACAAAGTCGGCTCGTTTTGTGGCCAATGAACAAGAACTTTTCAACCTGGTCAATTCTGGGCGGTAAGTTGGTTGATTTCATGATGACAATGATACTGGTCGTACAGGCTTTTGATTGAGGCACCTATTTAACGGGGACTAGATGCTGTGTTGCTTGCGATGAAGTGGAATTGAAGATCGCAGTCTGTTTTGCCGATCCCAACCCAAGTTCCCATGATAGTCAAGTGTCGGTTACCGTGGAGTGCTGAGATTTGTATTTGCCTTCATGCTGCATGTTTGTTGAGAAATCTTGTGGTTAAAACTTGGACCAAACCAGCTCATCCTAGTGTCCGCTTTTACCGCTTATTAGTTATGGCTACTCATCATCCGTTTGAGTTAAGAACAGGTACGCTATCCGTTCGGCCGGTAGCCGAGTGGTTCAGGTGAGATACAGAACAGCTCTTCAAGCGAATATTGTTGGTCGCCAGGTAGAGAATTGCCGATAAGTACCACCGGTGTTCTGATGATACCTTTCCTGCTGTACCTATTTTTAGTGTGACTTATCCCACGGTCTTTGTACTGGTAGGAATAAAAGCACCAATTTGCTAACCCAGCTGAGTTGCCTTCTTATGGCATTGCCTCGATGACCGGCCCCCTCTGATTCATACACTCTACGCAGGAAGAGAAGTGAGGCACGGACAACCCCTTTGGGAGACTCCACAAGTTACTCGTTCTCCAAAAGGTAGCGTATCACACCTGTGGGGAAATATCTTCATTTATCTAGAAATCATTTGGATGGAGGCGGACTTACCAAGCAACAGCATTAGCCAGCATTTATATAGACATTTTTGGGGTCAGAAGTCAGGTTATGAAACATCTATGAAATGCTTATCTTCATTATGAGATGGACTCAGAAAAATCAACCACCGCTAATCGAAAAACGTCTCCGCAAACTTTAAGACACGCAGTGGTGCAAATTAGTCTATGCAAACGTTACTGCGGGTCAATAAGGTCTATGAGCATAGAGAATATGATAGCTTTTTTATACACAGCGAGTATTAGATCCATCTCTTTGCTAGTGCAATCACTTTGTCACAATTTGAAATGATTTCATGGGTGGTGGAAAATTTTTAGCTATCTGAAATTAGCATGGATGAAACCCAAACTTAGGTCAACATTCCCCCATAAAGCTTCTAGCACAGACTTAATGTATTCCGAGTCGCCACAGGAAAAGCTTGCTGAACTAAGTGGGCCATTCACATATGTGTGAC